ACTATTTGGGAAGGGAAAACCTACTTATTTGAAGACTCAAAGGGAAGACTTAGGTCAGAACAGGGAATACATTGATTTTCTCTATTTAACATCTATTCTCCTGTTTAGGATGAGAAAGTTTATATTGAGACTATTAAATTTCATAATCTTCCCAGTATGTGTTCCTGTTTGAGGATGAATGTGGCATGCCCTTATTTTCACATTAGCTTTTACATTCCTTGCGTGAAGCTGTTGGTGATCCATTCATCAGACAATACTTCTGATTTAATATTTATCTGACCAGTTACTTCAGAAGACAAAGATAAAATAGAACATGTTCAAGAAATTGAGAGGTTATTGTGCCGTTGCCAGTCATTTAGCCTGAGTCACAGGCTCATCTGAAAAAGTACAGGAGGGGTCCCCAGGTATAAATTTAAAGATAAACAAACATTGCAATGTAAATGATTTTGTCACACAGCTACGGTGCAAAAAACTCACATTGCTTGTGTGTGTCTGTGTGTGTGTGTTTCTAACAGCTTTATTGAGATGTAATTCACATCCCATACAATTCACCCATTTAAAGTGTTTTTTTAGTATTTTCAGAGTTGTGCAACCATCCCTACAATCACATTTAGAACACTGTCATCACCCCAAAAAGAAACTTTGTAACTCATTATCTGTCACTCCACACTTCCTCCAAACCTCCCCAGCCGCTGGCAGCCACTAATCAACTTTATGTCTCCATAGATTTATCTATTTTTGACATTTCAAGATCCATTCATGTTGTGTCCTTTCACGGTTTGTTGATGTTGTAGCACATGTCAATACTCCATTCTTTTTTGTCGTTGCATAATATTTTGTCGGTATACCACATTTTATTTATGCATTCACCAGTTGATGGACTTTTGTTTTTTTTCTACTGTGTGGCTATTATGAACAATGCTGCTATGAACATTCACCTACACACTTTTTTTTTTTTGTATCATTTCATATGTTTCATTTCTTTTGGGTACATGCCTAGGAGTGGAATCGCTAGGTCATATGGTAACTCTATGGGTAGTTTGTTGAGGAACTGTTGGACTGTTTTTCAAAGTGATTGCACCATTTTACATTCCTACAAGCAATGCTCGAGGGTTCCAGTTTCTCCACATGCTCACCAACATTTGTTTTTTTCCTCTTGAGCATAGCCATCCTCATGGGTGTAAAGTGAAATCTCCTTGTGGTTTTGATTTGCATTTCCTTGATGGCTACACTTGTGTGTTTATAACACATTTTATCCAGTTCTGGAAGTCCACTCAGCAGCCTGGTTATTCAGTATTAGTATTGGGGCTCCCTTCCCTCTGTCATTAGAGCATAACTTACCTCTAGATACAAATGGGGTGGTGGCCTACTGCTTAGTCCTTGTTGGCCACATCGTCAATAGCTTGTCTCCCACTGCGGACCATGTATTCTGCTTTCACACCCATAGCTCTTACCGTCGGCTTTCCCAGCACGCCTCAGCTAGTGCCCCCATCTGGCCATTGCATGCAAGTGGAGCACAGGACCCAGCTTCTTGCAGAGACTTGCAGCCCTCAGTCACTTCCGCTCCGGTGGGGAAATGAAACTACTTCATTATGATCTCAGAACCCCTTTCCTTTTATGAAATTTAGGCTCACTGATGCTTCAAGCCAAACTGCAGAAAACATGACTACACTTTATCTCTAGAGTAAGGAAATCCAAGGCATCCATGCATAAATGCTTACCCTTTGGTTCACAATAAGCTGAAAGCAATAGAGATGGTATCTTGGATAGAATTCCCTAGAAGCAGCGTCCACAACAGGGATTCAAATGCAGAAGATTTATTGAGGGAGTGTTCTTAAGAAACAGAATTTAAAAACTTAAAGGGGGCGGTATGAAAGCTGGATAGGGAGAGGGAAAGAGCTGAGCAAGGACGTTGCTTCAGGGGAAGCCTCACATTGGTCTGATCCATAGGGGTAGACACTAAAGCAGTGCTGGCCATTAGAACTTACCGTGATGATGGAAATGTTCTGTAGAATCTGCACTGTTCAGTAGAGTTGTCACTGGCTACCTATGGCCATTGAGCACTTACAATGTGGCTAGTATAACTGAGGGTCTAAATGTTTAATTAAATTAAATGTAAATTTAAATAGTCAGTATGGCTAATGGTTACCACATTAAACAATGCAGTTATGGAGTATAAACCTCAAGACAAAATGGAGGCAAGGGGGTTGGCCTCTTGTGCTCTTATTGGCTGTGGGCTGCCTTGGCCTTGGTGGGAGGGTGGGGCAGGGCATAATTTCCCTGGTAAGTGTGTTGACACTAGACATTCACACAGCTGGGGAGGGTGCACTGGGCCAAGCAAACGGGGTGGGGGTGCACCACAGCGCCTACTACAGGTTAGGTCTCAACAGGGTCACCCTGACATCCTGTTTTAATACCAGTTCAGGGTTTAATTATAGGCGTAGAGTAACTTGAGGCCAACAACTGGCCATGCACTTGGTGCAGCAGAACAGCCTTCCCAATCCCCAAAGCTCAAATCTCTGGCAATTTTTCTACCGGTTTGCTGGTCCTAAAAGGAGAGTCATGATGTTTCGCATAAGCATACAAAGGAATGCAGAGATAATTTTTCTGTGGACTTCTTAGTATTAGCTTTTTCAGCCATAGAGAGGAATTTATTTGAACCAACAATATTTACTACAATCTCTGAGATGACTAGCCTCAGAGCTCTAAAAAAGAAGAAAAAAGAAAACGTTGCCCCTCCTGTGCTGAAGTATCATGGATTTGAAGTTATAAATGAGGAAACTCAAGTTCATGTTTTATTTATAGCTATTAAACTTGATTCATGGTGTTGAAAAAACACATTCAGCTTAATTTATGCAGGAATTAACTTTGGTGGAGATTAATTTTGAATCTATAGCTCCTTCCTAATGTATATCATCTCTATTCATGATTTTGGCTTGCAGACGGAGAAAATAGTGAAAACAGAAACAAAAGCAAAAAATTTCCAAAGAGAAATCCTTTGAATCCTTAAAATGAAAATAACAGGATGTTTTAAAAATTAGAATACTTTTGGAGTTAGAATTTGGAATTAATTTAATGGTCCTTTCCATTGAGTTTGGACATTTGGTACAGAGTTTTACATGGAAATACCTAAAACGGGTCAGGTGCAGTGGCTCACGCCTGTAATCCCAGCACTTTGGGAGGCAGAGGCAGGTGGATCATTTGAGGTCAGGAGTGCGAACCAGCCTGGCCAACATGGTAAAACCCCATTTCTACTAAAAGTACAAAAATTAGCCAGGCGTGTTGGCAGGCACTTATAATCCCAGCTACTCAGGAGGCTGAGGCAGGAGAATCCATTGAACCCAGGAGGCGGAGGTTGCAGTGAGATGAAATCACGCCACTGTATTCCAGCCTGGGTGACAGTGAGACTCCATCTCCAAAACAAAACCAAAAACCTAAAACAGAAGAAAATAAAAAATAAGACATTGGCAGATATATATATATATATGTGTGTGTGTGTGTGTGTGTGTGTGTGTGTCTGTGTTTGTGTGTGTGTGTTTTAGAGACAATGTTTTTCTCTGTTGCCTAGGCTGGAGTGCAGTGGCATGATTACAGCTCACTATAGTCTTGAACTCCTGAGCTCAAGTGGTCTTCCTTCCTCAGCCTCCCAAGTAGTGAGGACTACAGGCATGCATCACCATGCCTGGCTAATTAAGTTTTTTTTTTTTTTTTTTTTTTTTGGAGAAATGGTGGTTTTGCTATGTTGCCTAGGCTGATCTCCAACTCCTGGACTCAAATGATCCTCCTGCCTCAGTCTCCCAAAGCACTGGGATTACAAGTGTGAGCCACCATGCCTGGCCAATTTGGCACATATTAATACAGGACTTGATAGTAAGGAATTAAGAACTCTGGAATGTTTAAACTAGTATCATACTTCCGTTATCTATGCCACATCTGTGTAGACTACCAGGTATGTGTGTCTGTGTGTGTGTGTGTGTATGTGTGCGTGTGTGTGTGTGAGAGAGAGAGAGAGTGGGAGGAACAAGAGAAGGTGCTTCAAGGTGGTTAAAAAATAGGGCTCTGGATTCTTCTATTTTGGACTTTGTTCACCCAAGAGTGGGCAGAATCCTGTAGGTTTTGTCCTCCACACCACTGTAGGAACCAAGGGTGGAATCTGGTCTGTGTTTCTATGTTGTCTGGATTCCTTGGCACCTAATGGTATGGTAGTCTGGTTAAAGAATTGGAAACATCAGCCTCCTGAGTGTAGAAAGCATCGTTTTATTAATTTATTACTCTACACTGCATGCTGTCATAAGGATTTGTGATAAAACTTCCAATAAAGGGAAAAATGCCAGAGGTAAAAATAGAAGAGTGTATGATGCTCTTATATGTGTATGTGGCATATATATGTGTGCATATGATGCATGTGTGTATAAAGTGTGTGTGTACATTGGGAGAGGAGACAGGTGGGAATTAGAGAAAGACAGCTGTGTCCAAAAAAATCAAAGGGAAGCACAAAATATAGGTTGAGCCTCTTGGAAGTCAAGGGAAAATGGGAACAATAGATCTCGTGCCTAATACAAGAAAGTATATCAGCTTGCCAAGAGGAATTAATTTTGTTTTTGTTTTGGAATGTCATCTCTGTTTTAATTATTATTATTATTATTTATTTATTTATTTATTTTTGAGGTGGAGTCTCGCTCTGTCTCCCAGGCTGGAGCGCAGTGGTACAATCTTGGCCCATTGCAACCTCTGCCTCCTGGGTTCAAGCAGTTCTGCTGCGGCTCCCGAGTAGCTGGGATTACAGGTGCCCACCTCCACGCCTGGCTAATTTTTGCATTTTTAGTAGAGATAGGGTTTCACCATATTGCTCAGGCTGGTCTCGAACTCCTGACCTCAAGTCATCCACCTGCATTGGCCATCTTAATCTTTTTTTAAAAGAAATAAAACAGTCTTTATTAAAAAACAAAAACAAATAACATAGTAGATAATGTCTTCCTTCCTTTTCTTTTCTTAGACCTCACCCATTTTACTTGCTGATGTTACCTGCCAGACCCTGGCTGACACTTGCATTTATGGCTCCTGATGCAGGGAATGCTGTTCAGAGCTCTTCACGCCTGCCTCTTCCTGTGCAAATCCTCAGGCCAGTCCAAGGGCCAGTAGGCAGGTAGAGAAAGAGACGGTGAGTTGGCCTCCACCCTTCCTATGGCAGATGACGTCGTCTCTCTGCAGTTTAAGATTTCCATGACTCTTCTTTCCTCAGCCGCCAGCACCGCTGTCACCCCAGCAGGCAGCGCCCAAGACTCCAGGTCATCTCTGGTGATGGGGCAAGGGAGGGTGTCTGGCAAGAGGGCAACAAAAAAGTCTCCCCCGTAGTTGTGGTCTCGTTTGCTAGTTTTTAATTTAAAAAATTGCAGGGGCATTCTACCTGGCCATGTGTTTTACTGGACAAAAGCAGAGAGTCTAATATTAAGTTGTTGTCCTGTGGAGTATGTGTCCAAGTGAGTGATTGGGTTTGCTTCTAGCCTGTGTCCTTGGCAGTTGCATTAGTTCTGAAAGAAACAAAGCTCTGTCCTCCACCAGCGCTCCACAGAAAGCAAGGCGGGAAGCTTAGCCAAGCGCGCAGATCTCTACTGTGAACTTTTCTGCCGCATGTGGGGAATTACTGGCCCTTGAAAGCCATCGCAGACAGATAAGAAGCAAGGTTATAACATGATTCGACACGGAGTTTTGAAGAGTCTCACTTAGAAGTGTGGAAAGTGCAGCTTTAGAACCACCATTTCAGGAGATTAAGATTTGAAATCGTGTTGCTTTATCTTGCCGTTTTCTTTTCACAGGCTTTTCCTTAGTTTTCGCCGTGAAGTCCTTTTTTTTTTTTCCTTTCTTTCCCCAGTGTACACTCGAAGGTTTGCAATGCTTCACGCTTGAAGACTTGAGAAAAACTGAGTCAATTCAATTTGACTGACTTCATAGTCACTGCCTTCATGTGCTTTTGCTTGCTGTAAAAAGAAAAGCATGTGAAAAAAATACATTGCCATGGAATGAATGGATCTGTCTCAAATATAATTGCTCATTTTTACCTGTCCCTTATGTGCAGACTCCTTCCAGCCACAGCTCTTCCTAATGGGCTGCACCCTCCAAGCCAGTTCAGCACCACACCCGGCCACACCAGCAACATCTTTGCCAATGCCAGTGCCCTGGATCTCTTCTCGATTCCCTGAGATTCCTGGAGCTGCTCACAAGGCTTGAGGCCCTGGGCTCTTGGCAGCTGAAACAAAACCTGAAAGAAACTCATTGGGCTTTGCAATCAATGTGCTGAAACGTCTCCAGCAAGTGGCCACATCATCCCATTTCCGGTCACGCAGATGCTGGAGCTACTGGGCTCCTAGTCCCGAGTTGATGGTCTTAGAGAACTTGAGATCAGATTCTGGTCCAGAGGGAAGAGCAGATTTGGGTTCCTGAGAAGAAACCAGGAAGCAATGGCTAGCCTCAGATTTTCTGGAGCAATCCTGCTTTTAGGCATTCTTATTTTGTGGTCTACAAGAATTATTTTGTCCATATTAGAGCATGTGTTCTAACTGTGGCAGTGTGGGCATAGGGAGGTGGAGAGGTTGGGGAAGATGTAGGTGTAGCAACTGACAGAAACTGAGGTTGGGGAGCTGTTCTGGGGAGGCCACTGTCGCTATCAGGATACTGTGTTATTAAGAGGGCCACTGACAGGAACGGAAGTTAAGTCTGGTTTATCTGTTTAGCCCATTCTCAGTCTTGTCAGCTAGACAGAAATCAGGGCTCTGGTGTATTGGTGGAGGAAGAAGAATGGGAGGATCTGGAGCTGGCAATACGCATGAGGGCCTAAAGCTTTGGCAGCATTGCAATGGGTGTGATGCACAGCCAGAGGCTTTCAGATGGCACTGGGAAGCTGGGATGGAGGTTAAGGGGGAAAGGAAGACCCAACGAAGGAGCAGGACAAGCTTTACCTCTTCCACTGTTTTGTTTAGGCCAACCTTAATACCTGGGATTTAACTTCTGAATAATGAATTTAAAAAGAACAAATAAGATATGAAGATATTGATGCCAATAATGTGGCACATTGCTAGGGTCTTGGGTCAGTTCCTAGCAGTTTTGCTAGCATGCATGTTAGCAGGTGACAGGATAACCACTGTGACCCCAGAGGGTTTTGACAATCTGGCCCTGATCTTTCTCAATTCATCTTTTTACTTTCCCATCAACCCATGCTCTTGTCTTTCTGAATGCTTCCCCATTCCCAGACACCCTGCTTTTATACCGCTGTGCTGGGAGTATTCTCACTGCTTGGTGGACAACCATCTCTCTTTATTCTCTGGAAAATTCTTATTATCTATTCTTTGCTTTCCCTTTCGGGTTCCTTTTATTTGATTTTTCTAGCTCTCTAGATAAAATTAATCTTACCTTTCTCTGAACTTTTGCTTTTATTATAACATATGTAGAATTATAATCATTTCATCCTTGGTGTCTCTCTGCTAGATCATGTATGCTTTAAGGGAGGAGACCAAAGTTAAATCGAGTTGCCTTGCCTAGCATTAAACTAAATGAACGTCTGAGATATGCGGTACTCTCTCAGTATTTGGTAGGTGTTTATAAAAGGGAAAGAGAGTGGGAGTAGAGAAGCTCTGTCTCTGCTATCAATGTTGTGTGTTGGTATAAACATGTGTTCATTTAAACACACACACACACACAGAAATATAGAAGCATTAATATTTACTATGTGCCGTGTACTGTGCTAAGAAATTTTACATGGATGTTTTAAATACAAACAAGGGTTTCTAATGCAGATAATGGTATTGTCTCTATTTTAGAAGTGAGAAAATAGAAACAAGGAAGGGTTGAAGTGATTTATCCAAGGTCACATAGGTCACATAGTATCGATTCAAATTCAGACAGTCTAACTCCAGAGCCCAAGACTTCATCTGTTATTATTAATTATCTCTGTTTATTGCATCTCAGTGGAAACTGTCTCTCTTTTTTTAGCTGCTTGACTCCCACTGTAGGAGCTGAAAACTCCAGACATTTTTAAGTCTCCCTTGCAGCTAGGATGCAGGTATGAGACCCAGGCTTGACTAAATGGATGCACCTACTATTGCCTTTGAACTGGGAGCTGGTCACACATAGAGACAGAGACAGCAGGAAATCCAGAGGCACAGAGGTGCAGCAGCACCGTTCAAAGTCTTGTGTGTGTGGCTGCCAGTCAGCCTATGATATGTATGTTCAGTGTGAGGGGAGCGACGGTTGTTTCCGCATTAGATGGGTTAGGTGGTGTGATTTTAGTTGTCCACCTGCTGCCTAGCTGCCCTTGTCTGGCCTCCTTTTCTAAGCCTGGTTTCAACACTGTTGAAATGCCCTGAGCTGTTCAACAACACAGCAACACATGCTTTTCTCTGCTGAAATCAGGTAGAGTTATTTTCTGTTGCTTGCAGTAAACAACTCTGACTGGTATAATATCCAAACTTATTATCTTGAATATAAGACTCTCACATACATCATTCTTACCTGGAAGAAAAAAACACATAAGTAACCAGAATGTTGTGAATGTTCAACAGAGCAGAGGGTGAATGTGACAGATTGTGTATCATCAGGAACAATTTCTAGTTTATCCATCTGACTACTTACTTATGATTCATTTGGCAATTTGCATGGATGGTTATAGGACTTTTTAGTATATTCTTACAAAACTCGTGTCCAAAAATGGACTTTTACCTTCCAGTGTAATCTGACTCTGGGCTTTATAAATTTCATAATAAATTTTTCCTTTGAATGATCAGAAAGAAAAATGCTAAATACCTTTCTGGCTCATTATAGGCAAAATGGCTTCCTGAAATTGTAGTAGTTAAAAAACTAAGATCACAGAGGAAGTTGGATGGAACTGCTGAATTATTTAATATAAGCTGACTCATTAGAGCCTTAGCTTCTGAGATGGAAGAAAATATGATGGTTTACATAAAGGTTACTGATAAATTCCAAGATGAAATTCACTTTGAAGGGAGTAAAATGTTGTTGGGGGTAACTAATCCCTGTGGCATAATGCAGTGAAGGAGTTGAGTTTACAGTTTGACAGGGGGTTATGATCACAAGACATTTCTGAATTGCGGGAGAGGCCACTGCTTCAGATGGTCAAGTGGCCTACTGAGATGTCAGATATTAGACAGGAATAAACTTTACAGAGGCCAAAGGTTTGACCTTAGGAAGTCTAGACATGCTAATGTAATTATCATCACTCTAATCAGATTATAAAGTAAACACATACTCTACAAAGCAAAGAATCTCATGGGGTTGTTATTTAGAAGATGAAGAAAAGCTGCTTCCTGTCTCTCTTAGAAAAGCAATGGGAAGAAATGGGGTGGTTGCAGCATGAGGGATGTTGGTTTGATCAGTGGTTCTCGACTGGGGACGATTTGGCAATATGTGGAGACATTTTCGATCTAACCATTACAACTGTGGGAGTGGGGAGACATCCGGCATTGCTACTGGCATTGAGTGGGGAGATGCCAGGGTTGCTGCTGAATATCCTGTCATACACAGGACACCCCTGTAACTAAAGAATTATCTGGCCCCAAATGTCAAAAGTGCTGAGGCTGGGAAACTCTGGGCTAGACGTAAGAAATAACTTTTTGAATCTGAAGTGATGTAAATAGAAGAATAAGGTTATAGGCCCAGGACTACTATGGACCACGTGAAGCACCTGCTTCAGGGAACAAAATTTGAAAGAGTGCCCCACACCTCAGTAATCAAGAAAAAGAATATTTAGAAACTCAAATTTAATGCAAAAATATCCATGGTGTACAAGCTATCAAAATTTTAAGTAAAGACAGGATTCAACAGAGATAGGATTATGGTAGGGAAGTTAAAATGTTATTTATCTTGATTACTGAAGCTGTGGGCACTCCCTACCTTACATTTTGTGCTCGGGGTAAGTGCCTCAGCTGCTTCACACTAGCCCTGGCCTGTTGGATCATCCATGGTAGAACACCATTTTAGCTAAAAGGTAATTTGGCTTGATTATTACAAATGAGGGGTGTTCAAGTCTGGTGAAAGTAAGTGAGAAGATTCAGCTCTAGAATTTTAGACTTCATTAATATATTAAGTAAGGAAGCAACCCCCATATTGAGCTGCATGGAAATTCCCTAATATGGGTTTTTAATCTCTGTGATTTATAGCCTGGCTTTGATTATCCAAGATCATCTTCATTATGAGTGGTAATGTATGGCTGGCATCCCAAAGAAACATGTGGCATTAACTGTGATCTTTATCAACATGTTTCTGTTGCAATTCAGCCTTCCAGAAAAATAACCACTGTTATGACTCTTCCATTTTACTTACCAAGTAAACCATTACTTCTCATTCTCTCCTCTCCACGATCCCACTTCACCTCAAAACCAATTTAGCATTCTCTTCTGGGCCCTATTGATATTGACATTATTTTATATTACTTGCACCCTTCCCCACAAAAAAAATGCCTTAGATAGATTTTTTAAGGGGAGGATTTAAAATATTTTTCCTTCTAATAGGCTTGGGAAATTGTCTATGTCTAAATTCTAAGTTTATGTATGTGGGATATAGAGTACTTACAAGATAATGCTGACCCCTTCAGAAATGCTAGATAAAACTTTCAAAGATAGTTTACTATTCTGTGCAGGGAAGCATAGACAGTTATAAAAAATTATGGTAATATTACTAATTAGGAGAAATGTAGTCTTGGATCTATACCAGAACAAACAGCCTAACCATTATAGATTGCCTTCCATTAATTTCCATCTGTGAGTGTCTAGCCTATTAGAGTGCCTGCATTCAGTAAATGTGGTTGTACATAAAGCAACTAGATATGGGACCAGCCACTTACCACATCTGATCACTGAATCTAACTGACTTATGTACGATTGCTTTTGATCTATGCTAACTATCTTTATCTCAGTGCAAATCTCAGCTTCCTATCTGTTATTTTAAAAACGCTTTCATCAAAGAATAGCAGCAGGTTGGGCTGAATTATAGGGTTTGAGTTTAGTTTTTCTTTTTTAATTCTGTTAGAAACAAAGCAACATCAAACATGGGCTGCTTCTTTTAAACCAAATAGTCATTACTATCTTGATGAGCTAGTTTGTGTTTATTTCTTAAGAAAAAAGAGGAAGGGAAAAAGTGTTAGATGGGTAGATAAAGAATAATTCTAATTTAATTTATATTACCAAAGCTAGGCATATCCAAATGTTCTCTCTCTCTCTCTCTCTCTCTCTCTCTTTCTCTCTTTCTCTCTCTCTCCCCTCTCTCTCTCGGTACAGAGGTGAATGGAAGTCTGCCTAATGCTTAAGCAAAAAGTACACTTGATTGTTTCAGATTTAGGATTTTTCTGAGCTGCTTGGATGTGCAAGGCCGTAATTACCTTGCAGTGGAAAATTCAAATCCACCAGGGTAGGCCAGTGTTGAGTATGAAGTGGAAAGAGTGTTGCCCTGGGGTACAAGTCCTGCCCTGCCTTTGGGATTATGCATTTTGACCAAAGACAGGACATAGAATATAAGTTACATGTTTCTAGGTTTTCCTATTCACAAAATGATGATGAAAATGCTTAGAAGTTCCTTTGAAATAAACTGTCCACATGAATATTAGATTTGTGGGCTACCTTTTGTTCTACGGCAGAAAAGAAATTATGTCCCCTGGAGAATTTTAGTTAGATCTTCAGAAAGAATGGATGGAAAATTGACACTAAATGGGGTGTGTATTGTCTTTTCTATATTCATGTTCTCTAAACAAATGTTATAACACCTATTTTATTTAATCTTACGAATAGATACTGAACAAATGAAGAAGTCAGTGAATAAATCAAGAGAGCACTGCAAATACTAAGAATCATTTCATAAAACTTTGCTCTTAGTCATACATAAAGTCTAGGCCACATGTATATCTTACTGTGGTTTGTGCTAGTCACTGCTGATAAGAGAGTGTCATATAACAATTTGAATAGAAACATATAATTACTTAAATAAGCTATTCATCATGGAAGGCATAAACATAGTGTTTAAATATTTTCTTTTTATCATTCTACTCCCTGCATTGCAATATAACTTCAGGTTTTTTAAAACAACCCCCTCCATTGTACTATGTTGTTTGCTTTTGTGTGTATTTGAATTTTTTTATAATAAAAATGTTTTGAAAACCTCTTACTCCACTGTCCTATATTTTTGTTTATGTAAAGAAATCCGGGAGAGTGTCATCTTTACCTCTAACTCTTTAAGACAAACCATTTAAACAGAATCTGGACCATCTCAGGGCTCCCAGAGGTCTGCGCCTGAAGTTGCATCTTCTGCTCAGGTCTCTGATTGAGATTAGGTTCATAGGATAAAAAACATTCATTAACATATGTAGTAAGCCAGCACCTTCTGAACACACAATTTCACTTGCAGTGTTCTCATAGAATGCTTCTATGAAAAGCATTTTTTTCGGTTGGTGGTGGGCAGCTATTTCAAGCAGCTAACACAAAAAATATTGGGCTATAAGAAATGAGTTAGAGGTTGCTTGTTATAATGAACTCACTTTTTTCTTCTCTATCGGTATCGGTAGAAAATCAAAGTGGGGGGTGATATTCACGTTTGCACAACAGTTATGGAGCCATGAACAGGGCGTAGGTCTGGGTGCTTTCATTCATTACCTCGTTACTCTACACAGTCACCTGGGGTGGTTTGTGTTATCAGCCCTACCTTACAAGAGAGAAGTGAGGCAGCTGAAATTCTAACCCTATCAATTCTGGTGAAGAGCACCACAGAGAAACCAAAATAAGGTTAAAAGCTTTGTGAGGAGATAAGACAGCAGTATACTTATGACAGGCGACAGGATGACAGGAGTCACCTGCTCTGAGAGAACGCTTGTGAACCTTGAGCGCTCAGTTTGGCTAACCCCGGGGTAGAAGATGCCTTTGTTATTTAAGGGCTCTGAGTTTCACACAAATGGCATGTCCTTTGGTGGGGGCTGAGAGCCCTGTAGAAATGGATTATTACCATCAGAAGTGATGCCTTAGCACCCACATGTGCTAGATTCATTAGAATAACCTGCATCCCCCCAGTCCCTGCAAACTGAGATGGCTGGGTTCAAACACGGTTCTGTAAAAGTTGGTTGTTTGGGTCTGACAAACCATACTGTTGCGAGTTTCATAAAATAAATCAACTCACGGGATAGACATCAACTATGTAAAGGAAGTAAGGTGTTGTGTTTACAATGACTCTTCTCCTAAAACATATATTAAGCTTCCATAAGTTTGCCGTGACAGTGGTAAAATCCAATTGCCAGAGTTTGAGCCGGCAAATCAATGTAATTTCTGTGCTCCTTTAAACACAAGGAATTGATCTTTTCATAGCCCAGCCCTGCTCCAATGACTTCACTATTCCCCTTTGAATGAATGTGTAAGCTAAACACATACAACCTAGCTTTGTGTGATACACACTATTAGATAAGCACGGAGGATCAGGATCTCATTAAGATGGGGTGGGATGGAGAAGCCATTTCCACTTGACATCTTAATAGCATTAGATTGGAAAAGTTACTCAGATCCATGCACAGGACACAAGAACTTCATTCAACCCAGTAAGTCTGGCTGTTTGAAACAGATTTCTTTAAGAAGTCTATCTTGTTTGTTTATTTGGTATGTAGTACTACATATAAAACTCTAGAAAAGGAAACAAACATTGGAAGTGTTTGGTAAAGTGGAGCCAAAAGGGAAAGAGCAGAAAACAAAAGGTGCACCATGATAAGAAAAGTAAAGACAGGGACAAAGAGTATGAGAATATAAAAAAAATTCTGTTTAAATGTGTTAATTTATATTTTTAACCTATTCAGGCCTGAGGTTCCACTATAGCCCAGAATATTTATTCCAAACAAGGATAAATGAGTAAGATTGACTTATTTATATAATCTCTCTCTCTCTCTCTCTCTTTTTTCTTTTTTTTTGAGACAGGGTCTGGCTCTGTTGCCCAGGCTGGAGTGCAGTGGCAGATCTCAGCTCATTGCAACTTCTGGACCTCCTGGGCTCAAGTGATCCTCCCACATCAGCCTCCCTAGTAGCTGGGACTACAGGACTACAGGCATGAGCCACCATGCTTGGCTAATTTTTTTTTTTTTTTTTGTAGAGGCAAGGTTGCACCGTGTTGCCCAGGCTAGTCTTGAACTTAGTTCAAGCAATTTGCATGCCTCAGCCTCCTAAAGTGCTGAGATTACAGGCATAAACCACTGCACTTGGCCTATAGTCTCATTTTAAAGACATGTTTTATAGTAGCTTATTCAACGTTAGCTCTATGTGTCATTTTCATTATGATTGTTTATAATATGTGAAACCCAAATAGTAAGTTGATCTTCAAGCTTTAATAACTGATTTCAAATAATTTTCCAGATAGGCAATGATTTTTCCTACTGGAAACATTTCCTCCATTATTTTTAGTAGTGATCAATATCAGGGAGAGAACTTATCTACATCCTGAAACGAAAAAACTTAGGTCTGTTAAATTCTGATGATCAGCATAGATGGCCCTGGTTTATTTAAATACCATAGATCTTTGGGTCTCAAAGTGTTGTCCTGAACCAGCAGCATCACTGTCACCTGGGAACCTGTCAGAAGTGAAAATTCTCAGCAAGCTGCCCCACACCTGATGAATCAGAAACTCTGGGGTGTCAGGGCGGCAAGCTGTGTTGCAGCAAGCCCTCCGGGTGTTCTGGCGCGTGCTCGAGTTTGAGAACCACTGCATTTGTGTGTTCTCAGTGGTGGTTTTATTTTCTAACCACGTTGTTTCACTGCATGGATAAGGTGTACAAACCAGGTCAGCTGTATTCTAAGAAGTTCATCTATTCTGCAAAGGCTGAATATACCTTGCCCAGGGCTGCCTCTGATGGGCAGTGGACACCTGAAACCTGGGGAATATTTCTAGCATACAGGACATATTTTCCATCATTATTCAATATTTGCTTACTAAGGATGAATTTCCTTAACACAAATTTGAACAAATTCATTTTTTGAGATGGTAGATCCACTTAAAAGGGTATAAATGACAGTGCCAACAACAATTAAAAGTACTTGCTTCACCTAACTAAAACATATGTGGTTTCCTGAAGCTAAAGCAGTCATTTTTAATGAGCTGAGTCTCTTCTTGGAATCACGGTATGATATAGAATAAAAATGTAAAAGGGTCTTTATTATGTCCTCACTCTCGTATGACAGAGTGTAATGAAGACACTTTCAAATAAAGGCTTTGAGAGTGTGCCATTCACAAACCCTCTCTGAAAGAGCTTCTAAAGGATGTACTTCATGAAGGACACTGAATCCAGAAGGAAGAAAAGGAATAAAAGAAAGCATAACAATGTGTACTACCACAGCTACAGCATTTTTGGAAAGACAACTGTCTTTCCCTTCTTAAATGTCTCTCCACAATCCCCATGGTGGAAGTTTAAAATTCAGACACAGAACAATGTGCTACCATTGATTGAACATCTACTCTGTACCAGGCTGTAAAGGATTGTGATATCTATGTGAACATACTATGTGAATCCCCAAATAGTAAATTGATCTTATCTCATTCATGCTTCATAATCAATCCATGGGGTAGGTATTGTTTTATATGTTTGGAAGCTGAAGCTGAGAGAAGTTAAGAAACCGACCCAAGATCACACAGCCAGGAGGCAGCAGGGTCAGGGTTTGACCCAGGCCTACCTGATGACATTGCTCAGGTGTTTAACTGTCAGTCTAGCAATCTCAAAGCTAACTAAGGTTCCAAATGCTAAGTAGCTTTTTGAAATAAGCTATAGAGCTCTTCTATTTTTACTTACTTATTTTTTTTTGAGACAAGGTCTTGCTCTGTCTCCCAGGCTACAGTGCGGTGTTTCAATCTCGGCTCATTGCAGCCTCCCAGGCTCCCAGGCTCAAGTGATCCTTCTGCCTCAGCCTCCCAAGTAGCTGGGACTACAGGTGCCCAACAACACTGGGCTAATTTTTAATTTTTTTTGTAGAGACTGTGTTTTGCTGTGTAGCCCAAGCTGGTCTTGACCTCCTGAGTTCAAACAATTTGCCAGGCTCAGCCTCCCAAAGCACTGTGATTACAGGCGTGAGCCACTATACCCAGCCATGTAGAGCTATTCTTGACCTCATATTGCTTTATCAAAAAAAAAAAAAAGAAAGAAAAAGAAAAGAAAGAAAAGTACCCTTAAAATCTGATGACCTACAAACAGCCAATAACACATGAAAATATTCTCAGCATCATTAGTCATCATGGAAATGCAAATTAAAGCCAAAACGAGATATCAGTATACACTCAGTACAATGGCTAAAATCTAAACCTGACCATGGCAAGTGTTGGTGAGGGTGTGGTTGAAGGTTCTGATTTCTGTCAGATACCCACACTACCAAGGTCAGTGGCAACAAGAACTGACGAAGGTGTCAGTCTCTCCTCATGGTCTTCAACTGGTGTGTAAAGTCCAGTCTATTCCTAACCTCCCCCACTGTACATCCATCTTCCCTCCTGATGTCCTGCCCTGTGAATTTCAAACTCCAGGACAAGATATAGAGAAAACAACCTTACAAAATAGCAAAACTTTTAACCAGCTTCCAACAATTATATAATGCCAAACTCTTGTAACAAATCCCTAATTCTATATATATCTTCTGGTGGTCCTGTTTTTCTCATTGAACCCTGACTTGATACATAATTTTCACTGGAGCCAAGTCTAACCATGGCCTGCTTTTGTATGGCACTTGAGTTAAGAATTACTTTTACAGTTTTAAAGGGTTGTAAAATAAAGAAGGATGTGTAACTGACACCATACGTGGCCCACAAAGCCTGAAATGTTTATTTACTCTTTGGCCTGTAAAAGGCCAATGTAGGAAAAGTAGTTGTATAAAATGGTATGGCCACTTTAGAAAACAGTTTGACAGTTTCTTATAAAAATAAACATACACTTACCATATGGCCCAGCTATTCTACT